ACGTTGCAAAACAAGTTGCACGTTTTTTGCCGCCCGTTTTTTCGTACCTTTACTAATTTGTTGGATTGTTTTGTTGGACACAACGTTTGCATCAGCTAATGAGTTTAGTGAAGAATTAAAAATCAGTCACTTGCTTATTCTACGACTTACGTTTGTTTTTTTTTTCTTCTCTAGTCTCAATTCAAGGGGAAGAGCACATTAAAACAAAGATGGCAAATACAAAACAGTTTCTTTCAGTACCCCTGACAAGAAAATATGGCAGCATGCCCTTGCTGGTTCCGCAGAAATCGGTGATATCCCTGGAGTATAAAGAAAAGGGATCTATTCCTCGCAGGGGCACTTTCGGCGGCTCCGAGGCTCTAAAGACAAGGAACATAGAACATGACGTCAAGGAAATCCGGGAAGTAAAACCAGTCACAAGATTACCGGAAACCTTTATAGCTAAACCTGTACAAAGTTCCATAAGTTATCGGCGAGAAATTGCCTACCGAAGTCCGTTACTAGAGCGCAGGCAAAGTATGGGAGCGATGAAAACGCCAACTCTAGAAAAGAAGGCCCCTGGTACAAGCCAGCCGCGGCTACAGGAAAATAAAAAGGTTAAGGAGAGCCGACAGTCAGAGCGGTTAAGTGAAACTTCAGCCCTTCACGATAGACATAATGGTGTGAACGTAATTAATGTCAAGGCCAACACGAGAGTGCAGACTCATGAACAAGGTAACGGTTTTTATAAAAGACAAGAGACAAGGGGTGTCAAGTCGAAAAAGAAGCAGTTATCAAGAAAGAGAGACATTCCTGACAAGACAGCTATAACAAGAAAAAATGATGGAAAATCGTCCGAAGTAGTCTCCCTGGAAAGAGAATCTCACTTTCAGGACTACAGGCAAAAATGCGTTCAGTGGCTGAAATCATTACCGGACACTGAAATGCCGCAGCCTACAACCTTACGCTAAAACCCACGCAAAAAAAATCGTAACAGAACAATAGGACCGCTCGCTTCAGCAAATTTCTATTTCGCAAAGGTCATTGCCATTGTTTAGACACTAAGACTAACCATTTCTTAACTGAGAATGTTTTTACCAAAACCTGTTTGTATGTATATGTTGTGTATATCTGTCACGGTACCGGCTCACCACACTAACAAACTGCTCCGGCACGAAACCAAAAACGTTAAGTACATATAATACATGTATTATAAGGAACCATTTGTTACAACTGATGTAGCTATAAGAGGTGACCCGGGCGAAGAGTAATAATATATTGAGATAGTGATTTTAAAAGAACTTTATGAGAACAATCTTATTAGGAGAACAAAGAATCGCAAAAAGAATTGTGTTAAATATATAATCTCGCTTGTTTGTTCAATAGAAGGTTTATTAACTCTTTACCTTACTTGCAATATGAACAAAACACTCAGCTTCAAATTTACTTTTCATTAAATTTTAGAAAAGTCCTGTTAAGTCTGAGCTGCAAACTACGAGCTCATTGCTAAAATTGATAACTACCTAATACACGAGGTTTGCATGCCATCTTTTCTTTAATTTTTTTTTTTCATACAAAATTTCTTTCTTGTCTATTTACAAATTATTTATTTACTTCACTATCTTTTGCGAAAAATTTTTTAAACGAAAGGCAAACGATAAAACATAACGTTTAGATGAATACTCAGCAACATCACCAACGGTAAATCTAATTTAGGGAGCATTTTTCATTATTTGATTGGTTCTCATTGCTATAAATATTCAACAATATCACTTCGACTTTCTGTATGTACATACCAAACTACCATCTCTTTTAACTTCATGACACTTACAATAACCACTAGAAGTCGTCGAAACATTGTGTTTTTATCGCTTAATTTTCTTCTTAAATGCTTCGGAATCTTCCTTTCATTTCTTGTCAAACGGACTCCTTTGAGTTACAGTTCTCGCACAGATGGGTGTGAACGATTAAAAATTGTTCAATCCACAGGTGTACGGACCATTTCTGACTTGATACCTAAACAACATTGTCGAATAAAATAACCTCTTTACTTAGCTAACGGTTCAATCACTGAATTTCATCCCCTTCTGTCACAGCTCGTATGCCAGTCGACAACTTGACCAAAGTGGATCAACGTGCCAGACTTCTCAAGTTTAAATAGATGCCACGCCTTATCCGCTGACCCGCTCAAACTGAAGAAGGTAAGATTCCACCAGCTGAAGCAGTCGCCAATCATCCGTTGCCACGGAAACTACAGTTTTTTGATTGAGAGGACGAAACTCGAGTAGGAGGTGTTGAAGAGGTGGCAAGAATATCCCAAGTCGTATTTCATTATCTGGCAAGAAATAGTATCGATTAAAAACATAAACGTCCTTGGAGATTGGCGAAGAAAACACCAACAATACACAACTAATGGTATCAGTCAAGAAATCCTTACCAGAAGTACTTGTAACAAAAGCAAGTAAGCGTTCCTCGATTATCTTTTTCATGTGATCCCACTCCACAGTGAGGCAAACGACGGACTCGGCCCCAGTACCTATACGGTTTCCACTGCAATATAGAAATTGGACGTAAGACTCTTGTACTGTCGTAAGACTGAGATCCGATATAAAGCGATTGTCATTTGACCATCAGAAGTGGTTCCCCTAAGTTTTCGTTATTTATTTTATCAGCCAACGGAAGGAAAGATCAAAACATGGACTCCTTGTTTTCCCACCACAGAAAATCCTACAATGGAAAAAAGCCTTGTTTGATTGTAGAGTCGGCAGACTAGTTTCTGTTGCCCGAGGTTTTGGAAAATTAATTTTCAGCACCCTTCTTCAGCATGGATCGCTTTAGGAAATCCTTCAGAGTAGTCGTTCCGATAAGAACCTTAAGCAAAATAAAATTTTGTGTACGATTTGTCCTTCTCATGTCAGTCTCTCTATTACCTTAAGTATTATTCGACAAAGATTTGCGCGCTGTTCTTTCGAGTCTGATCGTTTGATTTCCCCTCCCTTCCCTCCCATCCCTTCCTCATCACTTTCAAGCAGAGAGTGCGGTGGTTATGCAGTGAAGTGGAATTAATTATTAAGAAACAAATAACCGCCTACCTGGTTCGTTGAACTTTGGTGATATAGTCCCAGAGCACAGAAAATAGTTTTCCTTTGACAACATGATGTGGGCAGGTCTACAGTAACACATCTAAAATCAATAAGCTGCAGGGGACTGGCTTGTTTAATCCGTAGATAATTACTAAGTCAGCATTGTTACGACTTTCTGGACGGATTTATTTCTTTTATTGTTTACTATGACACAATTTTGAAAAACAATTACACTGACCTGCAAATAGTAGATAAACTTACCTAGGCGGGCAGGGAAACATAGCTGGTTTAATATGGGACTAAAAAAAAATTACTTCACACAAAGTGAAAAAAGCAAAAAGACGTTTACCTTGAATTTATCTGGAACGCGAAGGGGAGTAAATAAGTCCGAAAACTGAACTGGCAAGTCATCCAGTGTTACTGCACATGTGAGACCACTATCTTCATTAAAAATAGCCCTGAAAACAAAGTATACCAGTTAATTTTTTTTCAACGGTTAACTTTTGTTGATAAATTAACGAAGCTAATCCAAGCGGGCACTTCGACAATCAAAACTTCATAGAAAATAAGACATAACAATGATAAGACATAAGACTATTTATGAATAAGCGAACGCGTTGTCTTTAGTTTACCTTTAGTTCAAATTTATTTTTGTGTTTTAAGGTAGTGTGGTTAGCCCGCGACCAAGCTCTCCATTTGGCGATATCGTGACAAGAGTGGAAATAAAGAAAAATTGAGCCCGCAGAAACAAGTACAAGAAATAATTGAAAAATCCAGATACTTCGCCGAGTCCATGAAATAACTCCGAGTAATGTCAGTTTCAAACTGCTGCACAGATAAAGCTCACAATTTTAGAGAAGGAAAACTACAGCGTTCGATACAGACGAGACCAAATTTGGGTTTTCTCTTGCTAGGACAGCTAGGGTGTATCACACCCAAAATTGCGTGAGCAACTATGATTCAAGAGTATCCCCGCAAACGTCATGCCGACAAGACTTACCTAACTTGAAATATCGCTGGTACAGGATCAAGAGGACGAAAACTGACTGTAACCTGGCAACAACCTGATGAGCAAAAAAGAAACAAAATTAATACGTACAAACGCCTTTTTTTTCTTTCTTTTATCTATTAAAGGCGAACTTCTGTCTCTGTGACAGCCTGCTGGTCTTAGGTATGTTCACACTGCACCAGATAGATTTTCGTGTGGACTAAAGCTATCCGTTATGGTGTGAACAGCAACGGCAAAGAACATCGTGCCCGGGCGGCTGGCCGACAGGGTTTGATTTTCTAAATCCCAATCCTCACTCTGGACATCTTTCCTACTTATTCACTGAAACAAAGTCTAGCATACAACCTATCCAATACGTGACGCCCCACTTTCGAGATCGGCGCGGCGCAGCTTCGCCACGTTACAGAAATCGCGCCAAAATCACCATTCTTACGTGTGGCCAGAAGCAATATCCAGTATGGTTTTCGTGCCGGCGAAAAAGCTGTCCGATTTATTTAGAACATAGCCTTAACAACTGTTTTCCGCCCGCAAGTCTCTGTAATTTCCCAACTCTAGGGTGGACAGGACAGAGACTAAAAGTAAACCGAGCTGAGAAGTGTCTGTAAGCCGCTCGCTACCTGGGATTAAAAATTGCTTTATTACCTTCGGAAGGATTAGAAGACTTTGCTGTCGATAGGTAAGAAATGTGGACATCTGATAAAGAAACCAAGGAGAACTTAGTTAAGAGATCGACAAAAGTGCGTAAGCTGTAAAATATCAAATGGTAAATACAGGTGGTCAGGACACAAACCGTCCAATTTCTTGTAGCGTCTGTCGGTATGAAACTTCAAAACCAGAGCATAGATTATCCTTGATGTGGATGGAGGTGAAGAATCTGTCTGTTAAGAAACCGAGAAAAAAGTCATCGCAGTCATTCATTTGCATTGTCAGTTGATCAGCACATTAGTCAGTCCGTCGGTGGAGTTAGACGGTCGCGACAGTCGAACCGTTGATCGGTAGATTCCCAGGCCCAGCTTTCTAACTTCGAACTTTTCATGTACTGAACTTAATAGCTATTTGGGTCGACCCAAATGATGTAAGTTCGACGGTTGATTGGGACGTCGAAATTAATGCAATTTTACCAAGACAGCTTTATCCTCTTTTGATTTTTACGATGCACAGTGGTCTACATTGTTTACCGGTAGAAAATAAATTACAGTAATTTATGCATTAGGTTCGACATATGAAAAGTTCGACGTTTGAAACTAAGTCGGTTCTCAGTCGAAATGATGGCAACTAGCGGTGGGGGTAAAAGGCGGAATGAGTTTACGGAATGGCATGTGGCATGGCTTGCGGAATGACATAATTATGCGGAATGTAAAATATGGAAAATGGCGCAAAGAAATAAATTAAACTGAAAAGCAGTGCGCGCGCCCTTTTTGGCGCCAATTTGAGTGAGCAACTGCTTTACCGGGCCATTTATTACTGGTGGCTCAAACCAGCAAGGCAGAGCGGAAGGTAGAGGTAAGCTTTACTGCATTCCTGTCTATGTAATACTTAATTAATACTTAATTTATCTTTGGTGTTTTCGACAATACTTTCTCTCTTTTTGCCCTCCATTATAATATAGTCAAAAGTCAAAACGCTAGAGGCGCTTGTTGAACGTGAAGTCGGGCTAGCTACAATTCTATCCGACTTCTAGGGATTATAAATTAATACGGTGAACGAATCAGATCATATTTGAGACTTAATGAACCCGAGTCAAATGTTAATCTGTAATCCAGAAATCGAGTGAGTGAAGGGAACTGCTCTCTTCGCACCTTCCTTGATTGTGTGAGTGTGTGCGTTTGATCGTGAAAACAATGCAAATTAAAAACGGTAGGAAGGGAAAAAACGAAAAAAAGACACACACTCAATTGCCAGGATTCGAACTCGCCCTTCTCTGCCAGCTGTTAGCTTCGCGTGCTGAAAACTAAACCTCGCAGCCAAGGAAACAAAATACGAGATCCATTTCATCTCTGAATATTATGTCACGATCACGAAACCCACCGTCTGAAAAAGTAACACTTCTCACACGGTTTGTAGAAGGGAAGAATGACCTTACAAAATATCTTTTCTTCAATGGCCGACTTTCGTGATGTAGTATCGGTGCTGCCATTCAGCCCGACTAATAAAGGCAAGACTAGAATCTTTGTGGCTGTGCGAAGAAGACTAACCGACAATGAGCCATCGTGGCTTTTTGATTGTCATCGTATGTCGGGCCCGTAACAAAACAGGGGGTGCTTAGGCAAATTGATTGGCGCCAAAAAAGGGCGCACTTTTCAGTTTAATTTATTTCTCTGGGTCATTCTGAGTATATTACATTCCGCATAATTATGCCATTCCGCAAGCCATGCAACATGCCATTCCGCAAACTCATGCCGTCTTTTACCCCCACCGGGCTACTAAAACATAATTCATGAGTTAACCCAAATTAGCTTTGTCGGCCTTAACTGATTCACACGTCGATCTTTTCTTGTACTTAATGGAAGGGATTAAGTTCGGTACATAAAAAGATTGACGTTTGAACTGGGTCAAGCCTATCATTCAAAGGGTCAAATAGTAAATGTATTAGTTAGAATATCAGTCAGTCAAGTCAGTCAGTCTGCCAGTCAGTCATCCATTCAGCCAGTCAGTAAAAGAGTAAATCTGTCTTTAAGGCAGTTAGCAATTCAGTCAGGAAGTCCGTCAAACAGTCCATCAGTCAGGCAATATAACAACAGATCGGTCATGTTTCATGTATTCATTAACTAAAACAGTAGATCAGTAAGTAAGTAAGTTAGCAGTTAAATGGTTACTCATTTAGTTAGTCGTGTTCAGTAATGGGTCATCCCGTCAGTCAGTCGGTTAGTCATCAAGTCAGTAATTCAGTCCATCAATAGACCAATCACAAGACGCTCAAAAGGAGACACAGTAAGTCACTAAATACGCAATCAAGTCCGTTAGTCATTAGTGGAATAACAAGGCAGTTAGTAAATGAGTCAGTCAATAAGTCAGCTTGTTAGTTAATTGCAGCCAGTTGGTTTGTAGATCACTTAATAGGTGACTCACTTAGGTACCCGAAGTTCAAAGCGAACAAAGAAACAGAACGGCAACTGAATGGATCAAAACAACTCTTCTTTCTAGTACTTACAAAGTGCAAGTAATAAGTGATTGATATTTCTTTACTGTAGCTCGTTTCAAGCACCTTCAGATACTGATCCAAAAGACCTACAGACAGCGAAAAAGCGATGGGTAGATCCGTCAGGCGACATTCCGTAACCACAACCATAAACAATATGATAAGCAGCTGTAGAGGGGATTAAGTAACTTCGAATTAAACTTACGCCAGGCACAAAGCGAATCTGTGATGAACGTACCCCACCCATAAGTCACGTCAGTTATCCTCTTTTCAACACGAGGAATGCAGATTTCTAAGTTCATTAAGGGAAGGTATTGATAATCGCATTGGAACAGGTAACATTTCCGTTAATTCTGCCACAAATAATTTTTTCGCTTTCATCTCCCTTAAAGTTAACTTGAAGTTAATGGAGAAAACGCAAAGCTCAAATTCACCCTCTGCTATTTATCGTAAACACTACCACTACTTTTATTCCGATAAAGCACATTTATCATGGTTTCGCTTAAATCCAAGCGCAGTTTAAACTTTTATATCTGAAGATTATCACTTAGATATCCACACAGACGTAAACAAAAGCCTTTTCGCTCCTTTTGGACGTCAAATTTTTCCTCCTGATATACAAACTATAATATATTTTTTTAATTCCTTACCTACCTATTCTTAATAACAACCTTTACTCATTACCTACACGATCGATACACGGTCATAATCATTGGTAGTAACAGAAAGAAATATTGGTAGTAAGAATACTTAATCACAAAGTCAAGAACAAGAGGACTAATGGCGACACAAACCTCTCAAGTTTCCAGCTTCCTCGTATTCATCAGTGGTTAAGGTCTTCATCTCAGAAAGAGAGCCTTCGCATGAAGGCTGAGAAACTCTGTTTTACGAAAAAATAAATACGGTAAAGTTTCTATTCTCAGCAATCAGGATCAAAAAATTAAAATCTGAATATTTAATTGGTATCCTTATTCTATAGAGCAATAGATGAGAGAGTATCACTACGCAATTATCCTGCGTAGGAAGCGGTTCCGCTCGAGTTGTTCTGCGAAAGTTGGAACAAGAGCCCCCCGCAAAAAAAAGAAGAGAAGAGGAAAAACTCAACGAAGGGGGGGGGGGGGTAGAAGACAAGAGAAGAGAGATTTCCTTTCCACCCCTCCTTCTCCAGGTCTCTTTTTCGCTCTTGTTCCAGCTTTCTCGAATAACTGGCACGGAAACGCTTGCTACGTAAGCTACTAACGGAATGAAAATTCACCAATTCATCCTGAAATTACACACCAGGGCCCGGTTCCGCGAAAGATGGTTAAGTTTAACCCAAGGTTAATCCAAATTCTAAGCAAGGTTTTCTTGTCTAAGAACATGTAACTGGAGCTTACAAAATGGTGTTGAGTCTTTACTCCGAGATACTGTAATGATGATATCACAAACTGTTACTCTAAGAAATACATAGGAAGGTAAAATACAAAAATGGAACAAAATTATAATCCTGGATTAGCGCTAATCGGCCATTCAGGAACTGGTCCCAGGTTTAAAAGGACACTCATCAAAACTAAGAACAGTGTGATAAGCAGAGCCATAGGAAAGTACTGCACAGCAGCTGTCACTTAAATCCACACACTAACCACCTTCAGCTTGGTTCTAAGTTTGGTTCTGGGGGAGAAGGGCTCCTCTATAAAAACAATCTGAAATTACATCCACGGAACATGCAAGCAATCTCTTAGAAAACAAACACCATTAAAAGAAGTTTTCATTGCCACGTGAAACAATCTTGCTACAGTTACATTTGTTTAATACCTCGTTAGCTTAAGAAATGGTGTTCCGATGTGTTTTACAGGCGGAGGGACTGGAAACGAACTCGTTGTTATGTCATCTGCAATTGTTAAATAAGAAAAAAAGATTACTTATGAAAAAAAAAAGTGAAGAAAAGAAAAAAAATTGAATAAATAAACGCAAGATAAAACTGTCGTACCAGCAATATTTATGGGAAGTCTCTCTTTAGTTGCTTCTGAGGCCAGGATCTTGGAACACTTCTCAAGAGAAAACACAATAGAGAACGAACAAATCACTCACCAAAATACAAAACCACATGTTAGGAAAAGAAAACGTGCTGTCTCAAAATACGAAACTTTAATAGTTTTATTGTAGTAGTTATATTCTTTTTGACGTACCTTGTTACTCGACACATTGGTTAACAGACAGTAATAAACCCTTGCACGATCCCTAATATCTGTTAGTGGGAGTTTTATTAAGGAATTCAACGTAAAAAATAAACAATCACAGCAAGCGTTCTTTCAAACGACTTTGTAGACTTGTTCTTTTGTCATGAAACGGTTCTGTCCTGAAACTTGTTAAAAACTGTAAAAGTGAAGTGCAATGGAGGTGTCATGGCACTTACTAGCGATTGACAATTTTATTTCTTGTTTGCTAGAAGAGGCTAGATAGAAAAATTCACATGGAGCACAAAGGATCATTTCTTTTGCTTCACTACGTCTTACTAAACTCTCATGTGCAAAACCTGGACACAGACAAAGCAACATATGTTGATTCCTGTTTGTAACATAACATGGGGCCTCACTGATGTTCAAGTTAGCACGTCATCAATATAATGTACAGGATACCGATATCACGATAACTTGCACAGATGAAAAGCAGCAGATTTCCAAGCTCTAAAATGACAATTAAATAAGGAAGATCAGTAGTTGCTTAAAAAATCATCTTTAGCCGGATTAGAACAGAATATGCCTTGGATGGAAAATGTTTCCCTCCATAAAGTATAATTAGCGGACCCACAGGGACGTTTTCCACTGTCGATCTCACGACCATACAATGAGAATCTGAATCAACCACTGATAGTTCGCCCCACAACTATTAAGCACCAAAACTCACAGAGAATGGGAAGGCTGGGCGGAGAAGAACGTGGCGGAACTGAAAGAATGTGAATACAAAAATAATCATCTCGTTCACCTATGGAGGGAAGGTGAGGAATTAGGACGGGAGGGATAATGCAAGAACTTCAGGGCGGAAAAACGTAATGAGCATGCGTGAACTTTTTTGCCCAGATCCCCTGGCCGGGTTTGAAAAAATGGCGGGATTTCAAATATTTTATTGCCTGAAAATAAGATGTTTCCACTCATAACCTGGAAAGAACAGGCAATTTGTCTTCAAAAGTTGCAAGCTGTGGTTATAACCTTATCGTTACTTAATTTTCTCGAAGAATACCTCATAGTAAAACGGACTTTAACGACATCAATTTCCTTGCGTTGTACTGGAAATGTGCATGCGTAGGTCCGATTTTTTTCAAGATGCATTCACAAAACGTGTTCATATAAGGAAGTTCCTGGATATATAAGGTCCGGAGCTCCACTGTGGACACAAAAACAACATATCTTTGGACAGTGATTTGCCCAAAAAAATTAACGCTTGCCCACAATGTGTTTGAAGGCACTGAACTTGTCGCACTCGAGCTGATATTTTAAAACCCTCGCTCGATCGGACACTCGTAGTTTCGCAGATAACTAAAATATAAACAAAATCCTCAATGTAGAAGTTATTGCGTTGATATGCGGGCAGAAAAAAGGTCAATCTTTATCTAGTAAAATCTTCCCAAAAATCGGTTTTAAAGCAACTATAGTTTATTTTTAAACTTGATCGTTTCGCGTACTAAGAGATAAATATAAATTATGCTTTGTGTTGTCAAGTTGAAAATGCATAACATCTGTCAAAAACCTACACGTAAGTAGGATTTCCTTCAAACAAAGTTAAAATTACATTATTGCAAAAACTTCTTGCTGACAATGAAGAAATGAATTTTTTGTACGAAAACAACCTACCTAAAGATCTTAAAAGCAAAAGATCAGTCGCAGTGAGCTTCGCAGCTAAACTATGATTCACCATGTAGCTCTTCTCCTCGCTTTAATAACTCAGTGAATAACTGGTGCATGTGAGGGTCTTCATTCAAGCAAATTAAACTCAGCCAATCGTTACAAAATTCAGAAAACTGCACATAAGGGTATTTGTTTTGCTCGCTTCAGACAAATCCAGCTCCAGCAATTCAGTGTTACGGGCAGAGTCAATTGTTTTGAAGTCACCGCCGGCAGTTGTCCTCTACTTCACAGCGAGTGAAGTGGAAAATTTGCGTACAGAAAGTTATTTCTTATAAAGAACAGAAACTTTCACAGTGCAGTGGAAAACAAAACTATGTAATTAAAAGTGACGAAAACTCTGACTACTTATAGTATTTGAGCAACAGAAAAATGATTCTTTTCTTCTAGAGTAAGTTTACTGGCCTTCTACCGGTATTTCCGAGAAAGTTTTACGGCGCACAAAATGGTTCAATCTTTGACTGAAGAGAAGGATAAAGCTGGTTCTACAGAGGGAATAAATCTGGGCATGTGAAAAAGTATTTACTAATTTAAAAAAAAGTAGGTTTTAATTCAGCCCGGCGAAAGAAGGCGAAATCAACTCACAAATTAATCGAATGAACAATCAAAAAAATACTCGCCTCTTTGGAAATGTTCAAAACTCTTTATTCCACCTCAGACTGACGGAATGATCCGTTTCTCCTTTAACATTGGTTGTTCCGAGTCCAAAGTAATTTTCAAGTGACGAAAAACAAAAACCACATAAAAGTAAAAAGGCTTTTCGAGGAGCAAACGTTCACACCTTATGCATTTCATTCAGTCTTAGTCAGAACTCTCTCAGTGACAAACAAACAAACTGTCGAACATAGTCAACACACAGAAAAGCTCGCCTTGAGCCTGCGATAAAGGATGCGCAGAAGCTTGCGCAGAACGTTTTTCCGCCCTGAATGCAAGAACAATCACCTTAAGGGGGCTGGGGAGATAGTGACAGGGTTTATGCATTAAAAAATAGTCTGCAGCGAGAGGTACGGCGAGGGAAGGGGCAAAATGACCACCTGGGGGGAGAGGAGTGCAATACGAATGTTCCCCTGCTAAAGAGTGGTAAGGAGCGGGGTTATACGAAAGATTACCTAAGGAAGCAGGGGTCAAATGATCGCCCTGGGGGAAGAGGTGGGGAAGGATATGACAATGATCACCTGTGACTGTAGCACTTGTATGGTGATGTAATAATATACTGTGGCATACAGCTAATACACAGTTGCCAACACTCCAGTTACCATTACGGGCGATCTCAGATTTATCAAGAATCTGAACCATGAAACGAATAGTTGGCTAAAAAATAAAAAAGGGAAACTTAAGTTACTTTAATTTGCGCGGTCTTGTGCTTTTACTCTTGTATATTAAGAGGACAAGATACAATATGAAGTCAC